AATCTGAACATCTGGAAGGCAGAAGAGAAGGGAGAAAAGGATTAATATAGTCTGAACACAAACTATGCATATTCAAACTATAGAATTGGCCTCGAACCATCAAATAGATAAATGAAATTTCCCAGATAGCTTTCCTCTTCCTAACCCTGCACTCTGTGAGCTGGGGTTTTATCCCTGGCTTAGCAGAGAACCCAGTGAGGCTCCTAGGCTCCCCAGGACTCCCAGCTGCATCTCAGCATCCAGAGTCAGCCTGGGGGGACTGTGGTATGGGCTGAGCATGCTTGGACTTGAACCATTCCTGCCTTTTGCTTTTGAAGAATGAATGACATATAGGGAGGGAAGGGTGGAAGAGTCAGGCCTGACTCAGCAGCTGGGGGATTCTAAGTCCTACCTCCCAGAGGTGTTCAGGTGGGAAATGACAAAAGCAGAAATTGGACACGAAGTTCCCATTAAGTGCCAGGCATCATACAGATGCTAGTGTAAGAACAGCACCAAATAAGAATGTTTATTGATGTTATAATGGAGTAGTGAAGGAACTTGCCTCTTCAGCTAGTGAGTCGTAGGACTAGGATTTTAAACTGGGTTTCCAGATTCCAAAACCAACTTTTCTCAACAGCACTAAAGCCACAGCCCAAAAGGGAGAGGCAAGAGGCAAGCCATCTTCAAGGTCATAGACAAGGCCAGGCACCAGGTATAGAGTAATAGGGAAAGCCAAGAGTTGAGAGCTGAGCAGAGGCAGGGTGGGGGAAAATGCAGCTTGGAGACAGTAGAGGGACCCAGCAATTGCCATGAGCATCCATGGTCTGTCTAAGATTCTGTCATATTGGTAGTCAGATTGGGCACGTTGGGGACTGGCTGAATGGGCCAGGCACATGAACTGGCATAGCAGAAGCTCCTGCATTCCCCAACAGCTGGTGAGCTTCTGTGAGCCTAGAGCCAGGGGAGGTGGAAGGGGAGTGCCCTGGAGGGAGTTCAGACTGCCCGGAAAGGGCTCGGAGCTGGAGGTGTGTGCAGAGCCCCGGAGCAGCACTCATGGGCTCTGGAGTCAGACTAGCTGCTCTAAATTCCTCCTCTATTATTTGCCTACTGGGTGACCGTGGGCAGCTACCTAATTGTCCCAAGTCAGTTTTTTTCATCTGCTGATTAAAGGACCCAATCAACTCATCCATCTAAGGTCTGGGCACAGCCCTAGAACGTAGGAGATGTACAGAAGGTGTTAGCTCTCGCTGTCATCCCAGCCCGTGGTCTGCAGTCACTAGCAGGGAAGGGACATTCTCCTTGAAGACAGCAGAGTATGGTAACTGACTCTGTATTACCTCTGGGTGAGGCTTCTGATGCTGTGGATTTTTCCCTGCCCCCTTCCCCCCATCCCCTGCCTTTGACTTATTTATATTTCTACACGGAAGAGTAACCTCTAGATGCCTGATTGTACTTAGCAACTGAGTGGTGCCTATAACTTAGGCAAGAGTGAGAGTCTCACTCCAGACATCTCCATACCTTGAATTTTAGAGTCAAACTGACTTGGTTCAAATCCCAGCCCTATCACTTTTTAGCAAATAAATTTGTGTTTCAGAGCCTCAGTATCATTTAACTGTGAAAGAGGAAAAATAAACCTATTCCACAGATAGGTTGTGAAAATAACATATGTCACCCTCCTATGCTGTCACCAGGTGGGTTACATAACTCCTCTTCTGAAGGGCACACACCTATCTCAGAGGGGATTCCATCACCCCCGAGACTCAGGCTTTTTCAGTGGCTGCAGACCCTCTCCTAGCCTGTGGCAGTGATTCTGCTGGCTCCATTTAGGTGGAGAAAACAGCCCATACGCTCTGCGAGTGGCTGTGCCCCCTGCCCCTGCTCTCCCATCCCACCTGCCCTTCACCCCCAAGTCCCAGCATCTGTTGCCCAGAGAGTCAGCTGCCGAGCTGTGCCTGAGTCTCTCCCTAGATTCATTTGATATGTTGCCACTCTGTTTTTGAAGAAAAGTCATATCAGTGCCTGGACCCCAGGGACGTTCATCCTCTCACTGCTGCCTGTCAGACATGTTCTGTCTCTCTTATTGTGCCCTGGAGGTCCTAGGTGATCTCCTTACAGAGGGCTTCTCACCAGACAGCTGCCACTGGGTCCCTGTGAAGGCAAGGACAGCAAAGCTCCAGGCTTCCTGGGGACCTAGGGAGTGCCCTGAGCACAGCTCCATGATTCTGCTGAAAAGGTGGTGGGCATGTCTAGCTTTTCTTGATAGGAGTAATTATTTTCCTTGCAACAACAGCTAGATGCTCCAGACCTTACCATGCAGAGAGCAGGGAGGACATTCTCATCTAGTTAGATCTCATTGTGTCCTAGGCACTGTGGGAGGATCTCAGTCATGTAAACGGCCTGCTAGCCATGCAAAGAAGGCCTGATTGTGTCCCCTCACAGATGAGAAAGCAGAAGTTAAATAACTTCCCCCAAGTTGTGCAGCTGGAAAAGGAGCAGAGTTAAGAATTCCAGCCAAGTCTGTTTAATGCAGGAAGCCATTGCATGTCACCCTTTAAGGACAGAGTAAATAATAACGGGTTAAGCAGCATTTGAGAGGGAGAAAGGAACTAGGCTTGCCATTCTGCTGTTTGTTGCATTGACCAAGCTGGGAGTAGTGACCATAGGAAGAGAAATATGAGTGACTCCTCCGACCACTCACCCTTTCTGTGTTATGAAAAACATGACCCCTAACTGGCCTTCCTACAGATGAAGGGGAATGACTGTGACGTGAAATATCTGTGAAGGTATTGAATGTGCCCACCTTAGAAACAATGTACCTTGGGGAAAGTTTTGGATCAGAATTTGCAAACTGGTATCTTGTAGGCTGAGTCTAACCTAGAGAGATGTTTTATTCTGAGGCAGGGTATTTTTGTTTAAGAGATGAGATCTTACTCTGTTTCCCAGGCTGGAGTGCAGTGGTGCAATCACAACTCATAGCAACCTTGAACTCCTGGACTCAAGTGATCCTCCTGCCTCAGCCTCCCAAGTAGCTGAGACTACAGGCACCTGCTACCATACCTGGCTAATGTTTTAAAAAAAATTTTTGTAGAGATGGTTTCTTCCCTATCTTACCCAGGTTGGTCTTGAACTGGGCTCAAACCATCCTCAGGCCTTGACTTCCCAAAGTGCTAGGATTACAGTTGTGAGCCACCACACCCAGCCCTGTGGTATTTTTTTAAAAAACTTCAAATTAATGGCTAACATTTAAGAAGTATAGCAGATTCACATAGAACTCCAGATTTCTTAATTATCTCAAAAACTCAGGAGCTGTAACAACCCTCGGCCTCCATCTGCATATGGCCACAGTGGGTTGGAGTCACACAGTAACTGCTCCCTTTGACAGGGAGGTAGGATGGCATTTTCCAGTTGCAGCAGCCTCTACAACTCCCTACAACTCCCGTGATGGGGTGCCAGGCTCCCTGCAGCGTCACCTGCCTCCTACCAGCTTTCTAATATTAGATGTAAGAGGGAAATGAGCTTTACCATCATGAATTCATTCTTTTCTTTTTCTTTTTTCTTTCTCTAGGTGTTCCTTTTCCAAAGAACTTCCTTCAGATTTGCAAAAAAATCTTGTGTCGCCTTTTCCGGGTCTTTGTCCATGTCTACATCCACCACTTCGACCGGGTCATTGTGATGGGTGCAGAAGCCCACGTCAACACCTGCTACAAACACTTCTATTACTTCGTCACAGAGATGAACCTCATAGACCGCAAGGAGCTAGAGCCCTTGGTAAGTGCTGTGCACAGTGACGGTGCCCCAGGCACCCCGGGAGCTCAGCCATTTGTCACAGCGCATTGCCCGGTCCCTGGGAAGTGCTCACAAATGGCTAGTATTAGAGGGACCATTGCAGATTTGTGCTGGGTTTAGTAGTTAGCCAAAGGCCAGGAGATGCCAGGATGTCCACAGCCTCCAAATTAAATGTCTTAGATTACTCTCCTAGTGGTGGCAGAATCTAGTGGGAAGTGATGGTTTGAGCCAGAGGGAGTAAACTTTATTTCTCAGTCCCCAAATCATTCATCTATTAACTTAATCCCTTAAATGGGCATCTTTGATCTCTCAAGTTGTCTCTTACACTGTTAATCAAAGATGATCAGAAACATTCCTTCAGTCAGTGTATAAGTATTTAGCACCTACTATATGCCAGTTTCTAGGCACACAAAGTCAAGGGAAACTGCCTTTGAGTAGCATTTGCTCTAGAGATAGAGACAGAAGTTAGTTCTAAGTAAGCAGAGTCTCATAGAGACTTTGCTTTTTGTGTTGAGTCTCCTGCGATACAGTTTTAATGGGATATATTAGAACCCAGAATATTTGATATAAAACTTAAAGTGAATGGGGACTACTTTTATACTCTTAATAAGCTATTTTTACAGTTGGACTTAATCTATGCTTTAGAAGTTAGGAACCCCTAAAAATCTCATTAACTTTTATAACATGTGCTACCATGGTATGGACACGCTCATCACAGCTCTTTCTAGCTGGCTCTATGGAGTGTGTGTGTGTTATATCCAGGATAATACACAGTAGTTGTTTTGTTAAATATGGCTGACAGAACAACTACGTTTCACTCAAGTTCATTGGAATAATGTCCAGAGTGCTGATGCCAGGCTTTCCATTTTGCTAACCCATATCCTTTTCTCTTTAGGTACACATTTTACAATATAGGTTTTATTATTGTTTAGGTATGGTGAAGCCTACAGATTAGGAGAGGAATGTCATTGAAAAGACAGTTGAGTCAGTCAGGAGACATTGGGCACAGGGAAACACAGGCAAGAATGCTTATTGTGGGTTTTGTAAGAAGGAACCAGGCCAGGCCAAGTAAGCAGACTTAGGGGGGGCTAATTTAAATAACCTCAGGGGACTCTGGTGGCATCAGGGCTGTCCCTCATTGTCTGACACCCAGCTCTGGGGTGGTTGGTGTGAGACCTCGATGGAGGAGGTGGGTGGGGGTGTGGGCAGGGGAGGTTTATAGTGGTTGGTTGGGTGCAAATTGTTTATCACCTCTAGGAATTTCTCCAGGGTCAGCAAGGCCCCTGTGATATTAAAGAATCTAAATATAAAAGGTAAAAGATGTTTAATACTATACCTGTATCTGGTAAATAAGATGTTACTGAATTTTATCTATCACTGTTAGAGTTTCTCAACTTGAAATCTATTCTTGTGCTGTGAGAATACATGGCAAAAGACATCTTTCTTTACATCACTCAATAGTTATAGAGCAAAGCATGACTTTTTGTTACAGTTGAGATATCTCATCAGTTAAAGAACAGCTAATTTGCTTTTTTTTTTTCCACAAGAGCTTTCTAGACTGCTCTGGGGGGCAGGAACTGAGTCTTCTCTGAACACAACTGGATAACTAGTATGGAAACAGGAAAAACTTGCCAATGGTTAAATTTCGCCTCTTCATCCTTTATGAAGGTTGTTGTGGGTAAACAAAACAGCCTCTATAATAAGATAAGGTTGTACAAACAGCTCAAAGGAGTTAAAAGACTGGAAATAGTTGATAAGTTAATTTCAGAAAATGTCAAGGACAGAGGAAAGGGGCTGTGTAAATGATGAGGGGAGAAACCACTGAGACCTTGCAGACTGTTCTGCTTCTGAGGGTTTTAATTTTGTTCTCCTCAGTGGACATGTTCAAGTGGCAGGAAAACACCTTCCCTGGGGGCCCAGCAGAAGGAAGAAGCTCTATGCACTTTTGGTTTCACTGAGCTAAAGGAGCAGAAATCATCAGATGGCTAGAGCTGAAAGTCACTTTCTCCTTTATGCACAGAAGCATAAAGACAACATTGTAGGACAAAGCTGGGTGTAAGTTAGCAAGCTGAGAAAGCCTTTCTTTGCGGTTAAAAACTCTTGTTATTTTGTATAACTGAAGAAATGCTCCAGGGATTCTAGCACCTGGCAGTGCCAGGAACTGACTTGACATCTGAGTCACAGGCCCTGAACAAACCAGTATTCTAAATAGGAGCCTCTTCGGGGTCCTAGGAAAAAAATTGATTAGAATAGCCAGGAATTATTAACAGTGGAAGTGAGAAAGAAAGGTATCCATTTTGTTCCCCCAGAAACTTATTTTGTTAGTTCTAATTATGGGGAAAATAATTTTAATGGTTTTAAATATTAATACATTGTTGTAATGCTTGATAGTCTGAAATTATGTGTTTGCTTTATACAAACTGAAACCTATAAAGAAACAGAAATAGATATTGAGAAATTTCTGATGACAATAATTATGTATCTATCAGGCTCTGGATACTTAGTACATCTTGTGTTCACAAACTGGATTATTTTTTGCATGTAGATTTGTTAATGCTGAAATCAGAGTTTTCATCTCAATAGTTGGTAAGGCTAGAATACCCAGTTGGTTTTTTTTTTTTTTTTTGCATTTTTTGACTGGGGCTGGGTTTGAACCCACCACTTCCGGCATATGGGGCCAGGGCCCTACCCCTCTGAGCCACAGCGGCTGCCCCTCAGCTTTTAATACTATTCCAATGCACTTATTAAAATCAGGCATACTCTCTCGGTGCCTGTGGCTCAAGCGGCTAAGGCGCCAGACACATACACCTAAGGTAGTGGGTTCGAATCCAGCCTGGCCTGCCAAACAACAATGACGGCTGCAACCAAAAAATAGCCAGGTGGGTGCTGTGGTCCCAGGTACTTGGGAGGTGGAGGCAGGAGACTCGCTTGAGCCCAGGAGTTGGAGGTTGCTGTGAGTTGTGATGCCACAGCACTCTACCCAGCGGGACAGCTTGAGGCTCTGTCTCAAAAAAAAAAAAAAAAATCAGGCATACTGTGTCTGATTTTCATAGCAAATAAAATACATTTTTATTTGCTTTGCTTGTATTGAGTACCCTATATGTGCAAAGTAAGTTGTCAAATATTCTATGTGCATCAGAAAGCTATGCTCTTGAGAAATTTACACTGCAGTCTGAAAAATGTAAAATAGTGAATGTCATTCAACTTTGGCTCTCAAGGGTGATAAAGATTTCAGGCATTTGGCTTTACATTCTCTTTGTACATTCTTTAGAATCTAATGCAGCTGGGGCCAGAGGGCAGCATTCGTACAGCCAGTTTCCCTTAGAAATCAGCATTCCCAGAGTTCTCACACTGCCCCTGGGACATTCCTACCGCCTCGCCTTGGAATTCCACAGTGTAGACTCCAGAGAGCCCACCTCACATTTCCTCTGCCACATTTCCACCACGCCAAGCCATGCTTCCTTGGCTGCTTTTGTCTATGTGGACTGAGTCTGCACCACACATGCTGTGTTGAGAATCCCGCCAGCACCCACCCCACAATGGTGGGAGATGCAGTGTCATAATAAGGCAAGGCTCACACTTTCTCGGTTGGAATCCTGGACACATCATTTACTAAGTCGCAACCTTGAGCAAGGTACATGGCTTTTCAAAGCATCATTTCCTCATTCATAGAACGGGCATAATAGAGCTGTAAAAATTAAATGGGTAGTCAAGTGGCAAGTATTTAAGAAATTTTAGCTGTTAAATGAGATAAAAGAATACCTAGCAGCTGGCCCATAGTTAGTGGAAGTGCCCTGATTCTCCCTTCCCCAGCTCCCATAACCTCTTTTCTGTCTTAGTGATTGATCCCTTCAGTAGCTAGTCACAGATATAGTTAATTGTGTTTGTATCAGTTGCTGCCACAAGACTGTCAACTTTTGAGAGCTGGGAGTATACAGGACATACGCCTGCATTTCCTAGGTGCCTAGTACATGATAAATGCGTAATATGTTTTTAAAGAGTATTTTATGGATGTTGCTCCTTAATTCAGTGAAGGATTACACCGTGATGGTTCTTTTCTTAGTACCACCCTCAACTCAGAACGTGCCTACAGACCTCTACTTGGGCATTTTCCTGTTGGAAATAATGCTTCAAACTGCTGGATCAACAACAGAGATTGAAAGCAAAATAAAGTGCAGAGCAGGGGGGGGATGCAGCCTAAGCTTGAAGCCTGACCGAGAAAAATGGAGCCCCAGTTCTCAGTCATTCTATTTTCCAGATTCCAGATAGCAGCCCTCCCCCACTGCCTTTGTGCTCTGGTGCCATGGTGCCATATGTAGAGTGACCAGCTCCCTGTTTAATGCTGTAAGTCTCATGTCCTAGGAAAATCCATGGTCCTGGGAGAACTGGAATGGTTGGTCATCCTGTCATGCCTCTGAGTTGGAATAAAATTTGGAATTTAGAAGCTGGGGAGAGGTTACCCTGGCCACCCAGTGAAGGCTAGTATTTCCATCCACACCCAGGGCTTGCCCCACGGCTCTCACTGGAACTTGCTGGTCAGCCTCTCTGGCCAGCAGCCTGGGAACCCAGAGAAACACATGCCATTTCATATGGTGTTCCCCAGGGAGGGAAGCTGGTGCGCTGACCCAGACCCAGACGTGACAGATCATCCATTTCTCATGTAAATGCAACAGCTGAAGATGACTTGAACTCAAGCAAGTTCCCAGTTAGGGGAAACCCAGCCCCAAAATGATGCTAGTCATTAGAAAATGGGCCAGGCCCTGATTGAATAAGTAGGCTGCCGTTGGCCCTTGGTTGCCTAGGAGTCAGCTGACAGAATTGAGCTAATCAGAATTATCATTAGCACACACAAATAGCCAGCTGTGTTGTGTTGGCCTTTCACTAAAAACAAAAGCAGACTCAGAGAGGGCTGTTAGCGGTGCAGTAGCTGTGAATGAACAGCTGATTAGGGCGGGGAGAGGAGAGAGATTGCTGGCCCTAAC